ACATTTTAGGATTTAGACATTTTCTTCGCTTGTTTGTTTGCTGTTGAAAAGCCAAAACATCTCATTTGGGTGTGAGTGAAAGCTTGAGAGTAGAGGCCATAATTGCCTCCTTCAGTCCTCACTTAAAAATGAGAGTTATTGCACGATGAAATACTTGTCTCTGCATTCAGAAGAATTTCCCCTTGTTATGCTGGGGGTGGTGGTGGTGTTTAAAGGCTCTTCATATTTAAAAGCTCTTCCTACCTCTAGGAAAAGGCCTAAGGGGGAGATAGAATCCATCAGTTTGCTCCCTACTGTGGATGGGGCTTTTTGGCTTCTTGATATAGGTAGAAGTATGATGGTGTGATGTTCCACTCTCATTCTGAAAAGGGAGCTTATTTATTTATTCAAAGCATTTCTGCAGTTTGGAGGTGGTGCGGCTACAGCCTGGCTACATTACCTTGTGTGATTTTTCTAAAGATTTAGCTTAGGATCTCCATGAAAGAATGATCAGTTTGCTTTAGCCACTTCTGTAATTCACATCTCATTTGGGTGTGAGTGAAAGCTTGAGAGTAAAGGGCATAATTGCCTCCTTCAGTCCTCATTTAAAAATGAGAGTTATTGTACGATGAAATACTTGTCTCTGCATTCAGAAGAATTGCCCCTTGTTATGCCGGGGGGTGGGGGGTGGTGTTTAAAGACTCTTCATATTTAAAAGCTCTTCCTACCTCTAGGAAAAGGCCTAGGGGGGAGGTAGAATCCATCAGTTTGCTCCCTACTGTGGGTGGGGCTTTTTGGCTTCTTGATATAGGTAGAAGTATGATGGTGTGATGTTCCACTCTCATTCTGAAAAGGGAGCTTATTTATTTATTCAAAGCATTTCTGCAGTTTGGAGGTGGTGCGGCTACAGCCTGGCTACATTACCTTGTGTGATTTTTCTAAAGATTTAGCTTAGGATCTCCATGAAAGAATGATCAGTTTGCTTTAGCCACTTCTGTAATTCCTATGTGCCTGTTGCAGAAAAAATTCTCCTTACCTCAAGTTTGGCTAAACATGCTCAAAATCATTTTCAGTACTTGCTTTGAAGACATCTATAGGAGAGTTTTTATGTTTGCATAGTAAACTATAGTCAATTATGTTTAGTACATTTTCAACATGGTCACCTGATGTTAAAATTGTCTTTACCTCCTTAAGATTAAATTTGTTTTAAGCGATTCCAACATTATTGCTAAATTTTTGGAAACTGTAGCTGGAGTAGCTGTCAATATAGCAGAGTTGGGAAAGGATGTGTAAAATGCATTAGGGAGGAAACTCAATGTGCCGCCGATGGTGACTCTCTACTCCTAATCTAGAAAGAAAAAAAGGGAGAGAAGCACAATGTCTGGCGTTACCTGTGTCCAGCTCTGTGGCCTGCTGGCGTCATGATGGGATGGGGTTGGCAGTTGTCTCTTTTCTCTGCTTAGTTAGGCTGATCGAATTTATGGTTGGCCACTTGGGTTTTATTAAGCCTCATCTTTTGTTCACGACTCCCCAGCTTCAGCACATTGTCAGCGATGAAATCTGCGTGCAAGTGACAGAACTTTACTTGTCTGAGAGCAACAATGGGGCCACAGGTGGCCTGCTCTCCTCGCAGTCATCCCGCTCCCTTGTGGAAACAGCCTACCAGCGCAAGGCTGAGCAGCTGATGCAGGACGAGAACTGCTTTAAGGTAAAAGGGGGGGGGGAATTGAAGCCCTAATGAAACAAGAAACGGGGATCCTGATGTTCTGGGGCTGACTCAAAGCCCAATCAGTTTGCAGAATGGGCCCCACTTTAACTGAGCAGTTCATTAGACATGCCCCAGGTAAGAGCCCCAAACAGGGACTGTGAGCGTAGAACCCACATACTGCAGAAGTAAATGCTGCAAGGCGCCGTAAGCGACGCACAGAGCTTTCCTTACACCAGCTTCAAATGTAAACAGTGTAGAAGTCAATTGACATACTTACGTAAAAAGACTGGATTCAGTAAGTCTCCCCCGTATTTGTGGGGGGATTTGGTTCGAAGCCCCTTCCCATGCTGATGCTGAAAAACGTGGATTATAGTAAATGCTATTTTAATTGCAAAAGCTATCCATAGCACGGTTTTTACTCATTCTAGTGGCCAATTCTGGTAACTTCATCTTTAGAACTTTATATCTAAGATTTTCCCATGCGGATGCTGAAAAATGTGGATTATAGTGAATGCTATTTTAATTGCAAAGGCTATCCATAGCACAGTTTTTTACTCATTCTAGTGGCCAATTCTGGTAACTTCATCTTTAGAACTTTATATCTAAGATTTGTTTTCCCAATGTTTTCAATATTTTCATACTGTGGATAATTAAACCAGTGGATACTGATCATACTATAGACTTTGATTTGATTGGCTTTAAGGCAGTAGGGAGAGAATATCTGTTGCCGGTTCTTTCCCCCCAGCTTCTTCAAAAGTTACCTTTTCTGTCCTTAAACTTAAAATTCAGAAATGGGTGTCGCATTCTGACTAGAGAAAATGTATCTCATAGCTGTTTGGATGTTTTATAAGGAAAGAGAAGAGCCTCCTGAAGTGGAGAGTATCAGAAGGAGGATACCCATGAAATGAGTTTCAAAATAGCCACACCACTTCCCACTCAGTCAACTGGCAAACTGTGTGGACAGGGCAGGAGCAGCTGCTCAGTGGCAGAGGCTAGTCTGGAAGCCACCCACCTGGCAGGGAGACTTCTGACAGGGCACCTTCCCTCTCCCTCCTCCCACTTTTTTCCTCCCTAAAAGCTAATTATTATAGCTGGTTATTGGCAGAAACTGCTCCCCGGAAGTAACATCCATGGTCGGCATGGCAATCGTTAGTAGCAGGCCCAAGCGGAGCTTTTCAAGCAAACTCTCTTGCTTGTCCGAAGAGGGGTTTTTTTGTTGCCTAGCAAAGCAGTTTTGTATTGTTATGCTGTGTAGGGAGTGGCCGGTTTGGGTACCAAGTAGAAAATCCTGGGGGCTGTTCGGGTTGCTTCCTAAACCTCCGCCTCCTGTTATGCAGTTGATGTTCGTTCAGAGCCGTGGCCACGTTCAGTTAACCATTGAGCTGCTTGACACAGAAGAGGAGAATTCAGACGACCCCGTTGAGGCCGAGGTAAGAAAGGGCTGCCTTGCTGGGTTAGAAGCCGAGAGCCGTCGCTCGATCCAAACTGCAGCTCGAGTGGTGTTTCCTCTTCAGTAATGAGCTAGAAAACCAAATTTTAAAAGAGGAGACGTGGATGCCGTCCTTGGACCTGTTAGGTGCCAGATTCCACAATGTCTGGGAACATTAATGGGCAAGTGTAAAATCTGACAGACAGAGAGCTGAACCGCAAAGTATTGCCGAGCATGAGACGGACCTGCCCAACACTTTTGCACGAAGTCAACCTCAGGCATGGCCGTCGCATGGCAGTCTTGTTTTATTTATTGATTTAAAACGTGTTTACCTCACCTTTCTCCTTAAAGGGACCTTGAAAAGTACTATTTTTTTATGAATGAATAAATCTGCCCTAGCTTTGAGAACCTAAAATTAAGGCAGCAAAACGCTTCTTCATGGAAGCAACTGTTGTCTCGTGCCAAAAAAAAAATTAAAAAAAATTCCAAGGTCAGCAGTGAAGCTATTTCTCATAGCTGCCCTGCTCTTCCGGTTCAGGGGGAGTAATACGGTCTTTCCAACAACATAGATGAAAGAGCACTATATGCGAAATTTCTCTTACTGGTAAGTCATTTTAATGGGAAATTTCCAGGACTGCTTACCACGTGCCTGTTAGGGGAGTGTGAATTTTCAGAAAACTTGATAAAACGTACGGCTTGCCAAAAGCCAAGAATTGCCACTTGTAAATATTACAAAGCTGGCAAAATTGACTGTAGTTTTCAAAACATGTTTTAAAGTTTTGTAATGGCAAAGGTAGAGAGCATACTTCAGATTCTTAAGGGCTGGCAGCCAACTGTTCAAGTAAATGGGTGACCAGGTATACTGGATTTTCTTCCCCATCTCTGTTTTAAAGTCCCACGTCCAACTTGAAACTCTTCTCTTTTAAGACAGACTGGATTTTCCGAACTCTGCTCTTAAAAACAGGAGTGTGATGTTGCCGCTATAACTGGGGGACTTCTTAGGGGTGCTGAGAGAAATGGCTGTATGCTTGTGAATACAAGAAAACCTTTCCTTTAAAGGGAGCTTTTGCTAACCCCGTCTTTTTGTTTTTCTTCTGTCTAATTTCAGCGTTGGACTGACTATGTTGATCGGTACGTCAACTCTGATTCTACCTCTCCTGAACTGCGGGAACAGCTGGCCCAGAAGCCAGTGTTTCTGCCCAGGTGAGTGGACCAAGATGGTGTTTGGCCCTTTGTTCTGGGACAGCACCATGCTTTTGAACATCCAAAGTGCCTGACCTGCTAACTCGAGACGGCACAGCCGCATTAACAGGCTGCTGTGAACTGCTGGCCAGTTCCCAGGAGATCCGTGTTCTTACAAGACTTGACATATCCCTGAAGGCCGGCGGAAGGGGAAAGCTGGCTGGCTGGCAGACAACCGGTAAAGTCTTCTTAAGCAAACCTGCCAAGAGCCACTGCTATGAAAGCTTGGCTTTTTTTTTCTAGGTGCTTTGAAGCCTTTGGATTGCTGTTTCCAAACGAAGGTTGATTCACACAGCACTGTGTCATTCATTCATTCATTTCTTCATTCATTCATTGATTTAGATCAGTAGTTCCCCATCCCTTAGATCCCCAGATGTTCTTGGACTGCAACTCCCAGGATTCCTGGCCCGGCACAGCTAGCGGTGAAGGCTTCTGGGAGTTTTAGCCCATCTGGGGACCCAAGATTGGGGACCATTGTTTTAGAGAATGGGTTTGCATTGCCCAGAGAGTCTTGCAAGAATCTTTAAGAACCCAAACACCTTGTGTGTTTAAAAAGAAAAAGGGGGAAGAAACAGAACAAGTAAAGAAAGGTTAAATCATTCTAAAATGAGGATCTAACCACAACAGTCATTTGCCCAGCAAGTGAAATCCTTGATGGATCAGAAAAGTTTCATCCTATGGATGAAGGCTGTGAGAGGTGAGGTCTAATGGAGCTCACAGAGTTAGTGATTTCCTGGTCTGGGGACACCCGCTGAAAAGGCCTTCTGTCCTGTTCTGGAGAACTACGCTTCCCCCCTGGACTTGTCGTGAAGAAAGGTCTCTTCAGTGGATCTTAAGAAACAGGCAGAATGCGTCTAGAAGGAGACAGTCCTTCAAGCTTCATTTTGGAGCTCTGAAGGTAGACTTGTGCCCAGAAATAGGCTGGAAGCTGTTGCAACACGAGTGTCATGGGATTCCCATGGGCAAGCTCCCACCAATATTGTTGCTGCTACATTCTAATCTAGACCACCGGAAACTCCTTCAAAGACCCTTCAGAAGCTGCCCCCCGCCCTGTAGAGCGCCTTGCGTTCATCCAGCCTGAAGGCAGCTGAGTCAGGTTTTGCGGTGACCGTTCTGGCCCTTGGCCCTTCCTCTTTGTTCTGGAGAGGGTTCAGGGGAAAGGGAGGTTCTTAGGGACTTAGCTGACTTGCTCTGTGTGATGTACAAAGGAGGAGAGCCTGGCATTACACCCATGGGCTCAACTTCAAGGTAGCTAGTTTTTGTGCCTTCTGCCCAAATAAGTGTGCCTTAGCAGCCTACATACCCACTCATTTTAGCCCAGAGAAAAGATCATAATCCCACATAGAGCTTTTGCATGCAGTTAGCAAGTTCCTGGGGCTGGAGGGGGGGGGAGTTCCTTCCCTCTCCCCGTGGGCTTAACTCTAGTGCAAGGCACCTCCTTTCCACAACATTTCACCAACAAATGGAGGAGGATGCAGGCAGCCGTGGCAGTTGGTAACCTGTGAACCATCCCTTGCACTCTTGTCATCATTCAGCACGAGCAGTGTGATGGATTTTGAGGAGCAGGACCCCCGAGCCACATCGTCCAGTCCAGTGAGGGAGGCGGGCGCTAACTCCAGAAGCGGTTCTCTGCTTTACAGGAACCTGCGGCGGATCCGCAAGTGCCAGCGGGGCCGGGAGCAGCAAGAGAAAGACGGGAAGGAAGGGCTCAGTAAGAAACCCTTGGAGAACGTGGAGAGCTTAGACAAACTGGAGTGCAAATTCAAGCTGAACTCCTATAAGATGGTGTATGTGATCAAATCGGAGGACTACATGTACAGAAGGACTGCCCTGCTACGGGCCCACCAGGTAGGACCGGAGGAATGCTGGCGGTGGGAAGAGCAGCAGAGGGACAGGCCGCTCGGGCACGGTGGTGGAGCTGCTCCTTCCTCCAAAGTTTTCCAATTTTAACTACTCCGCTTCCCTGTAAGCGCCCCCCCCCCAAACGGATAGGGCCCGAGCTAATTCTGGAATGGGCAGGGCCCCCCCCTTTGTGTACAGCAGAATGCCTTGTGTATTGGTTGAGCCAAGAATACTCTGTCTGACCTTCACTTCATCTGTCGACTCTCCATGAAATTACAGTAGGACCCCCTTATCTGCGGGATCAGTGTGCCCTGATTCACTTATCCAACGTCTAAAAAGATTAAAAAGAAAACCCTGATTCACTTATCCAATGTCTAAAAAGATTAAAAAGAAAAGACCCATAAAATATATATATATGCTGTGTTTCTAACCATCAAGCTACCAGAACTGGCCAGTAGAAGGAGCCAAATACCACGCTATGTATAGCCTTCGCTGTAATTGCCTTTTTCTGCATCCGTAGGGAGTGCTTGGAACCTATCTCTCGTGGATATGGGGGTGCTACTGTATAGGTCACTCCGTGCCCATCTGCCAGCCATGCTGCTTAAAATATAAATAGATATATACACACACATACACCCAAGAGAAATAACAGTTATGGGATCTTTGAGGGGAGAATCCTTAGGATCCCTTTGTAAGCTTCCTTGAGTTTCGCAGAAGAGACAGGATGTGCGCGCCATTTGTATGTATCGTGTTGCGTGCTTTGCTTTTCATTTTTTGCCTGCTGGTGACGGTGGCCCTTTTCTCCCCGCAGTCCCACGAGCGCGTGAGCAAGCGGCTACACCAGCGATTCCAGGCTTGGGTGGACCGATGGACCGCGGAGCACGTGACCCGCGAGATGGCAGCGGAAACCAACAAGTGGCTGATGGGCGAAGGCTTGGAAGGCCTCCTGCCTTGCACCACCACCTGTGCCGCGGAGGACCTGCACTTTGTGAGCATCAACAAGTACCGGGTCAAATACGGCACAGTCTTCAAGGCGCCCTAAAGGCCAGCGAGGGGAGAGGAAAACCCCAAGGGTGTTTGATGGTTTGTGCGTCCCAGGGCGGTGCATGTGCATCAAGAAGAAGGAGGAAGCGCCTCTTCCTCCCCTCCTTGCTGTGTTTCTCTGTACCAGTCAATGGCCACATCTGGACTCCTTCAGAGCGGGTGCCTCCCATAGTCCCAGCGGAGTCGCTGTTGAAAACGTCAGTCCCGCAGCATTGAAGCTAGAACTGTCGCCCAGGGGCTGAATTTGCCCTGCGTGCACCACGGCGTGCGAGGGGCACGTGGGGTGTGTGTGTGTCTTGAGCTCCTTTAGGGAAACCCACCTTGCCTGTACGCACCAGCAGCATTCTCCAGTTCCAGCAGGCGTCAAAAGACATTTTGGGTGCTTGGGATAGCCTGGATAAAAGATTTGAGGCATAAGGAGCTCCCCCACCCGAAATACAGCCAGATTATTTTACGGATCCCACCAACCCACCCACCCCAAAAAAGGCCGTCTCGCCTGCAAGAGCAAGACTGATCCTGGTGTTTCCAAAAGTTTGCGTCATCGCAGCCGACTACACGGTCCAGAGGTCAGAAATATCAGCGGATAAATCTGCCTCTCCTTCTGACCAGTTCCTTCCCTCTGACCGAGACTTCTGACTTGCATAAACCAGTTAAGATCCAGTCTGTCCTTTTTAGTGCCAGTGGAACTACTGTTTTAATTTGATTTTTTTTTGGGGGGGGGTTCTTTTTCTTTTCTTTTTTCTTTTCTTTTTTTTTGTACCTGCTTGTTTACTAGTCTGTCTTAGTGCCATGCACCAGCTTTTGACACAAACACACACTCTCTCTCCATATGTAGAAACACTTAGCTAGACAAGCACCCTAATACAGACATACGTGCTTTCACACAACAGCAACAACCGATTTTAAACTGGTTTCCCCCCTTTTTTGTAAATAAATGTACATATTTGTCAATTTTTGATTTTTTTTATTATTATTATTATTAAAGAAAATGTATGCTTGATGTGCTAGTATACCTGTACTAGCTTCTTGTGTACCATAGTACCCACCCCGTTGGCTTCAGGTTTTAGTACCGAGAGAGGAGAGAGCAGCAGCAGGTGACATTTTATTACACTTTCTACCAAAGGGAGTTCTCGTTGTAGTGCTTTGTGTGGAAACTTGTTTCTCCTTTTTGTAAACAAAATAATAATAATAATAATAACAATAACAACAACAGCAATCCATCTTGGTTCTTACTAGAGGAAGACGCATGCTTGCCCGTTCCCTCACCCGGTTCGGAGAAGGCGCATCCCTACAAACCATAAACGGGGGACTTTGGACTCCGCTGCGTTCTTGGCGTCGCCACAGAAGAGGAGAATGTGTGTGTTTGCGCACGGGTGTGTGTGTGTGAGTGTGGATTGAGACTGGGGTGGGTGGTTGGGATGACTGCGAGAATGCAGTGTGTACGTGTAACATGATTGTATTTCAAGCAGCTTGTTTGATATATGAATCTATATTGTTAATATACATTTTTCTTCCTTTTCTTTTTTCCCTTCCCTTTATTTCTTTTTCTGTTTCGGTGGGTAGCCTTTTATCCACCTAGTCTTCCAGCTCGGCGAATCGGTGCTTTTGGGAAGTGCTGCTGAGCTTATCTCTTTGGGGCTGACTGCGCATTTCTGTATGTTTCTTCTCGGTATTGAAGAAAACGCGTACATGCCAAACCAGTATTTGATAAGAGCTGCTTTTACCCTGTGTGCGCAAGTGTATGAGTGTACACAGGTGGAAGCAGGGCCACAGAAGAGGGTGGACCCTTAAAACTTCTCTAGGAACATGAGAGCAGGGATGTGTGTGTGTGTGTATATAGACACACACACACACATATCCCTGCCCTCATGTCCCTAGAGAAATGTTAAGTATATATACTGTATATATATATATTTTTAGAAAGCTTAGTGATGGCAGACATGTTAATAGAAATATTGTGATCTTTTGAAAGACGTTACTGTGTGGATTTCTTACGTGGATACAAACCTAGCAACCCGTTTCTCCAATGCCATGTAGTTCACCGAGGCCAAGAGGGCAACAGAAGGAAGCCTAGGAATACGGCTTTCTGATTTTTTTTATCTTTGTTTTTTTTTCCCCTTCTTACTGCCTTATTCAAATCTGTGGAGGCATGTAATTCCCCCCCCCCTCGAGCAGCATTTTGTCTGTGGTCCAAGACTTAAGACGCAAAGAGGAGAAACCAGAGAAGTGGAGCAATCCTCTTTCTCCGCTCGCTCACGAGAACAGACCGAAAGCAGGAAGACGGACGGGCCTCCCTCCTAGAGAGCGGGATGCCCAGGGACAGTTTGGCTCCAGCGATGATAGCAGCACGTAGGAGCCTATCTGGGGAGTCCTTACCGTATGCCAGCAATAAGCTAACTCTTAGCTCACCCCACCACGTCTCCTCCTGTCTCCCTGCTCAAAGCGGAACGGAGCGGGGTGGTGGTGGTGGTGGCCATGTTACAGTGTCCTGTCCCGTCCTGTCCAGTTTGTGTGCTTCCTCCTCAATCTCTCAGCGTTCTCTCGGGCTTTTTTTTTTCTTCCACCAATCTTTAAAGACCTCTTTCAGCTCTTCGCCCACATCTGATTGTAAAACGGGACGGGAGAGAGGTTTTGAATTTGTTCTACTGCGTAGCATGTCTGGGGCAAAAGAAGTGCCCGCAGAGGAAACTCGCCCGCCTGCCTCCGTTCCGGTGGCAGGGCTTCCTAACGGAGAGAGTTTCTCTTCCTTCCTTCACGCACCCACCCATCCACCAGGCCCTCGAATGCTGATGTGCGACATCAAGGCTGCAAGCTCTTAAATCCTGGCCTGTACAAATAGCAAAAGGTTTTCCTTCTTTTAAATTGCTTTTCTATTCTGTAATGTGATCCTCCTCTTTTCTTTTCGCCACCTATGTGATGATTTCTATACAGATGTTGTAAACTTGACTGTAGTGCAGTATTTCCATTAAAATATCAGGGCTACTCATGTAACAGATTCGGTCGTCCTTCCTGATCGCTCTCGGTCAGCCGAAAGGATCGGTGCAGGCTTGATGGGTAAGCTTTTGAAACACTTGCGTGTGTCTGTGTCAACAAAGCAGTTCTCGTCAGTGCCCAAATGTTCACAGTACAGTAAGAGCATCACCATTGTAACCTCGGGGGGGGGGTGATCGGTTCAAAGCCCCCCCCCGGATGCTGGAAAACACAAGAGTATAGCAAACAGGATACAAAGCATGGTCTCTAGCTTCCTCTAGTGGCCAGTTCTGGGAACTTTCACATTAGAAATAATGGGAGTGGGGGTTTGAAAATTCTGTATTTTCAGACTGTGGATAGGTGAATTGGTGGATAAGGGGATCGTACTGTACACAAAAATCTTGAATACTTTTTTAATTCACCCCAATTTGGTGAGATTTTACCACTGGTCATCTTAAGTAGTACAATCCTATTTCAGTTCTTTTTCAAGGTTAGATGGAAGATTCTTCTTTATACGTAGAAGAATTCTGCCTGTTGGAATTTCCCGCAGCTCCTTGTCTGCCTTTTGGAACATTTCGCAAATTGCTTTTTATGTGTTTGCAGACTCCGTGACTATAGATCCTGACCATGTGCAATGAAGAGGCCTTGCCTTCCCTGCTGGGAGAGAGGAGGTACAAAGGGGTGGTGCACTGTGACATTTGGACTGCCAAAAGGGAGAGTTTCCTTTCTTCCTTTGCCTAAAACAAATTGCTCTTCCCAGGTAGAGCAGAGCTCCTGAACCAAGTGCGGAATGGTAAGTGTAAAACAGTTGAGATGCTCAGTTGGATTCGGGCCATAGTGCTCTCGGGTCCTCCTTCGACGGTGAGAAGAATTTCTCTAACCTGTTGTTGGTCATGGATGGCTCTTCCTCTTCCAAGCCCGCCGCCGCCAGGGCTGCGACTTTGCACGCGGAGAACCTAAGAGGGTCCTTGGCTGCGGAGCCAGAGGTTGGGAGTCGGGTTCCACACCATACCTCTTTGACGGGGGCCGGACTCGATCTGCAGGGTCCCTCCTTAACGAAGATTATTAACGGTGTGCCATCGGCAAGTGCTGTCACTTTTGTGCAGGCAGATTGCCGAGCCAGCTAGTAAAGCCTTGGTATTGGTCTCTGGACTTGGGTTTCCATGAAGCGGTTCAGAGTGGGGGGGGCACAATAGCCTTCTGGACTTCAGGGGGAAAATGTCTTGTTTGTGGACGTGATGTTTGACTTGAACCAAGCGAAGGATGCCTGATCCCATTTTGATCTGAGGTAAGGCTATGCGCTCACCAGTCCTAGCATTATTCTGCTGCATCCATCTAATGCAGGGCAGTGCTGGTAAAAAAAAGATAATTTCTCTTAGTTTTAATGTGCACCAAAGTTAGAACAGGTAATTTCTCCGAAAATTATCCCAACTCACCGTGTTGAACTTCAAAAGAGATTCAAGTACCAGATATAAGCCTTCAGGCTCAGATATTTTTCTCGAATTCATATGCATTTTTCTCAAATATTTTTCTGCAAATTTTCATTCCAATAATATTTGCTACTTTAACTAGGTTTCCTATAGCTATTAACAGAATACAGAATTCAGCTGTTATGATAAGTAAAAGTTCCCCTTGACATTTAGTCCAGTCGCGTCCGACTCTAGGGTGCGGTGCTCATCCCCATTTCCAAGCCATAGAGCCAGTGACAGTTTCCGTGGTCATGTAACCAGCGCGACTAGACATGGAATGCCGTGACCTTCCCACTGAGGTGGTACCTATTTATCTACTCGCATCTTTATATGCTTTTGAACTGCTAGGTTGGCAGGAGCTGGGACAAGCGACGGGAGCTCACTCCGTCGCGTGGATTTGATCTTATGACGGCTGGTCTTCTGACCTTGCAGCCCAGAGGCTTCTGCGGTTTAACTCGCAGTGCCACCGTGTCGATATGGTGGAACTGCCAAATCATGGCTAAGTGCCACAGAGGGCTAATTGATAACCAGGCTATATTACAGATCTGGTTCAAGGGATATAGCATTGCTGACCCAAGAAAGTTTGAACACAACAGCAGGTTTTCCCTTGCTTGGCCCAAAGGGCCTTAGGATTTGCCCCTTTGGCCTTTCTTCCCGACCACTGGAATGCTGCTGGGAAACGGCGCTCCTGTTTATAGCCAGCGGACCCGTGTCTTCTACAAAGACGTCTTGAATTTGCAATTTTAGTGCCTCTTCTGCCCTGGTGAGCACCAGCGGGCAAGCGGGCGATACCTTTTCTCCGTTTGCCCATTGTCAGCAGAGGGCTCCCAAAAGCTAGGAGAGAAGGCGCAGAGGAGAGAAGGCTCAGGCTTTTATCAACCAGCCGTTTCTCCTTCCCAGAGACTTGTTTCATAATTGTACATACTACATAATTACGGTAGTATGTACCTTCTTGAGTGCGTTTTCAGCTATGCCTCTGGTCAATGTCTTCTGTTTCTTTTTTTTTTTTTTTTAAGTGGCGTGATCATCCATAAGAGGTGGATCGACCTGGAAGAAAGGCATTGATAACCAATGTTTGGCCTGCTCCTTTTTTTATTATAATTTTTTGTACACCCTAAAAGGTAAGGGTATACCTACCCACAGGGGACTACCTAACCATTGAGCAGCACAGGGCAGAGAAGAGAGGCAGCACAAAGAGAAATAGCGAAAAGCCTTAGAAATGTTGGGCCAAGGGCCCCGAAGGCTTGACCAACAGTCTGCCCGTCAGAAGCTCTGTGGGCCTGATGGCATCCTCTGTGGCTGAATCCCCCAAGTGGCCAGCCTTTGTTGTGCACCAAAGGCTTCGTGCTCTCCAGTGCCGTTTGTCTGCACAAGCAACGTGTACAAAGCACTGCATGCTGAGTCAAACCGTTGAACTGTCCAATACGAGGCGGGCTCAGACAGGCGAGAGCTCTTTAGGTTCCCCGGCAGAATTGCTGTCCTAGCTTTACTTTGAGATCCCTGCTGTGGACCCGTCGGCTCTTCTGTCCAAGTATGAATTAGACTCTGCTCTGCTGCCCAGATCAGACGAGGCCGGGTGTGTGTCAGTAAATTGGAGAAATGAAAGGAATGCTGGGTTCCAGGTCGATGGAGTACCCATCTGAGGATCCACTCTTCTATAATATGATGTCTTGGAACTGCAGAGCTGGAAGGGACCCGATGGATCATCCAGTCCAGCCCCTGTCAAGGAGGCGCAGTGCGGGAATTGAACTCCCAGCCTCTCTGGCTCTGCAGCCAGAGACCCTAAACTACTGAGCCACCCAGCAGCTCTTCATTAAACTCCTGCACTCCTGGTTTGACTCTTACCTGCTTACCTGAGCAGACTAAGCAGTACTCCTGGCTCCTCGTCGTGATCAAGACAGCACAGCCTGCCTGCTGCAGACTCTTCGACCTCCACCTTTGGGAAATGAGGAGTCCATTCCAAAACTGTAAGAGCTGCTAATGCCTTATACTATTTGTGATCATTTTTCTCCCCTGTATGTTGGTTCCACACCATTTCTTACCACCTAGCCTTGGTAATATCAGCAGACATCTCAATTAATTGACAGCCTATTTCCAGAACATGGCAAGAATGAGGTGGTTTTCCTCTTATTCCACTCTGGAAACCATGTGCCTGCCCTCAACAAGTGCCTCTTCGTCCTACCAGCAGCATGGGACAATGAGTGGTTTCCGGAGCAGGTTCAAGAGCATCATTTAAAAGGAGAGAGAAAAGGCTTTAGATGGGAGACCGACAAAAGCCAGGGAATCTACAAGTTCTCGCTCTTGTTGAGTGTAAAACTGAGCTCGCTGGTTGACGAAGGGGGTCACATGGATGGTCTGTCCTAACAAAGACCTGGAGGAAGGACGACAAAGGATTGTAATGGATGCCCGGCCTTCGTGACTTCATCCCGTAGGGAAGCCACATTTCTCGTGGATGCTTCTGTGTGCCAGTCCATTCCTGTCGTGTTTAAGAGACTGAAGATGCTCTCCGGCTTCCCTAAATCTGATCAACCGGTTTCTACGTTTTGGTAGCTCTGGACACAATTCCAAACCTTCTCTGTTTCTTTTTTCCACCAGTTCGGTGTGTGTTTTCCAACATAGCCCTGCTTGTTTTTTTCTTTTAATTCGCACACGAGACAAAACAGTACCAGATTTGGCTAAGTGGCCCCCCTAATTAGGCTGGCATCCTAATGACAAGCTTTGGGGGCTAAGCAAAGCGAAACAAACCGAAAAATGATAATTGCTCAGTCCAGAGTATTCATCAAATTAACATACTCTGAATGAAGGCAAGCTTAATTTAACAGGCCAGTGCGTCCGTTGTGAGCATTTAGCATGCAACATTGTCTGAAATTAGTCGGGAAGAGCTTCCCTCTTCATAAAGAATGGGGGTCAAAAGTAGATGAAGCCGCAGTCTGCTCTAACAAGAGAAAATGTCAAACCATTTAGGGAGCCGTGCAGAAATTTCTATTCAAAGGGGAGCTTCAAAGCAATCGTTCGAGGAAACTGTTCCCAAGCTTTTATCCCGAGGCCCCGATTTCTGATGTCTCTGAAACCTCATGTGTTGTGGCCAGCTAAATAGGGATCTGTGGAAGGAGGAAATTTTATTTAATGTACAAATGCCCCAAAAATGTTCCAGTGTGAAATCCGTTGCGTCTCAGTGGATGAAAGAGAAGGTTGCAGTCCTTGTGGTTGGTAGAGCAGAAGCCCCTACAGACCATAATAGATAGAACCCCAGTGGGTGTGAATACGCAGAGATAGGCAGGCAAGAAAGCACAGATCTATTCATAAAGATCAGACCCTTCCTCAGCTCATCCCTTCTATTCACAACACAGTTGAGTAGGGAAAATGCATTCCCGTGGCCTCCATTGGAAATTTTCCTAGTGGTTACTGCTTCTCCCTGTGATTAGTTTCAAAACGGTGTAGGATTATTCTTCCATATTTATTCCCTCCAACAACACATCTTGCATTCACCAAGCGTGAGTTCAGGAGTTGAGCAAGAGAAAATATAGCTCAACTGGTTTTTAGGTCCCCGGCTGCCGAGCCAGAGGTTGGGAGTGTGATTTCCCCCAGTTGTTCCTCCTTGATGGGCTGGATTTGATGATCTATAGGGTCCCTTCCAGTTTGGCATTTCTAAGAGGATTATTGCTGAACTGCTGGATAGCTCATTGGTTTAGATCTCTGGCTGCGGAGCCAGAAGTTGGGCATTCGATTCCCACGCTGGGCCTCCTTGACCGGGGGCTGGACTCTATTATTATAAATACATGCGTCATCATGACCCTCTGCCTTGGGTAAGGAGGCAAGAAGGAATGGGCTGGCCACGGACCTGGTGAGCCTGAATACATTTCCTCTAATGGAGCGATGCCTTCAGGCTGACCATCTAAGAACATCTGCTCTAAACAAAATTGGGAAGGGATGATGGAAACTGGTCCTGGAGACGACCTTGATGTCCTCCAACATCCCAAGATCTTCGTGGGATGCAGATGATGCAGCCTTCAAGCAGCCCTTGATCTCCTGGGCAAGGCCTCGGGTGGCTATGCAGCTTTCCTGTCCCAGGGCAGCTGGTAGTGGAAGCCAAGTGTTTCTCTTGGCCCGTGAGAAGCGAAGCAAGTTCCTTGTTGGCTGATCGGACGCAAACCAGTTAAGATTCTGGAGATCCTCACGTTCATTTCCGTCGTGGTTTTCTGTGTGGAGGGGTTAAATGTTTTTACGTTGGGAGGTGTATTCTGGTCTGAAGTGGGGCAACCCAGAAATGACTCCTGCTTTTTAAATCTGGTGCTCGGAAAGCAAACCAAAGGCGAGGAGGCAGAGATGAAGCTTGGCTCGATGATCATTAATTCATGAAAAAGGTCTCTCTTTTCTGTGTTCAGCCTGGAAGCAAAACGTCGCGGCGGGAAAGCGTCTGCATCGGCAGCTTCCCTGACCAGCGCGGGGCTGAGCCCAGTAAGCCTTGCGCGTTGTCCTCAAATGCTCTTAAGATTTAGACGTGGCGCTGTAATCTGCTAGGCAGCAGGGTTGGGTGTGGGGAGAGAATTGTCGGCCGTAGGGACCCCAGGATTTCCAGCCGTGCCTTTCAACACCGAATGCCTTTAACGATGGGTCAAGAACACTGCCGGGGAATTCCACGTGTTGTCATCCAGAGAAGCAGCTTGTTGAGAGCAAGTACAGCATGCATGTCATTAGCGCCACTTGCGGTCACAAGGCGTGATGAACGCTCCTTTGGGAAAAGTCCGTAGGTTCAGATGACCTCCCCTCCTTGCGTGGGAAGAATAATAGGTAAGGGGGCAGCGTTGGCTGGCCCTGAACGCATGTGTTCGGCGCATGTCCCTTGGGAGTTCCACCGTTGGCCCGTTGGCCCCTGCCAATTCCTGGGGTTTAAAAAAAGAAATGGTGCCCCATGTACATCGGGAGAAGCTCTACAAGCATCAGTGAGCCCTGAAGGTATGTTTGGCAACAAGGGTGGCCACAGAGCAGACAGGTGATGGAAGGGTTAAGGCTTTGCAAATTCCTCTTTGTGGTCCTCAAAGCGGAGGGCATGTTACAGACATGACTTAGGGCCACCTCAGATCAGACCAAAGATCTGTCTAGCCTACTAAGGTTCCAGAAATGGTGAACCAGATGCTCATGGAAAAGCCATTAAGTAGGACATGAGTGAAGGACAACCCCCCACCTCCTCTTTCTTCTGTTCCCCAGCAAATCATGTTGAGAGATCTATTGTCCTCAGTACCGGAAATGCACTATAACTCTAATGAATGCCAGCTTATCTAAATCCCCTTTTAAAGCTCCCCAAGCTTGTGGTCCTGTTTTAAATGGGAAATATCCATGGAAGATGGGCTTCCCTTTGTTGAAAGAGTTAAGCAGAACCTCTCCCTGATTCCCCCCACCCCCAATAGCCATCTGTATATAGCCTTCCTACTAAGGATCTTAAGAATAGGGTCATAGAATCATGGAAGGGGCCTCTAAAAGGCCATCGGGTCCAATCCCCTGCTCAAGGTAGGACTCTAGATCAAAGCAGATCTGACAAGAGGGTTGCCCGATCAAAGCAGATCTGACAAAGAGTTGTCCCATTTTCTCTTGAAGGCCTCCAGCGTTGGAGCATTCACTACCTCCCAAGGTCTGCTTTGGTTCCATTGTCATACTGCTCCAACAGTTGAGAATTTTTTTCCCTGGATATTCAAGCTAAATCTGGCTTCCGGTCGCTTGGAGCCCATGATTATGTGTCCTACACTCTGGGATGATTGAGAATAAGTCCTGCCCCTCCTCTGTAGGATGACTTTTCAACTATATTTGAAAAGTGCTATCATCTCTCCCCGCAGTCTTCTGGTGAACAATGGGAGAGAAGCATTTGATAGCAAGGAATACGTACCATTCGGCCTTTTGGGGGATCTTGTACCCATCTTGAGTCCTTTTAAGCCGAAAAAGTAAGGTAGAAATATTTTAAATAAATGAGTGACCAAATAAATAAGGATTTCCTTCTTTATGAGCAGTTGTTTTTGAGGTCTGTCTCTGCCTTTCTCAAAACTTTTAACAAGCGAAAGGGCCTAAGGTGGATTTCAGCTTCAGGACACTTACTCTAACCCCTGGGTCACACTGTCTGCCAGAGGACAGAACTCTTCTAAGCATAAAAGAAGAAGAGGAAGCTGTTTGAATAGCATTGGGGAGTTATATCCAATAAATTTAATCGCTGCTGAAATCGTACAAATTTAGAACTACAAAATACAAAGTAAACGAAGGGGATGAAGGGAAGACACACACACATACGTACACACAAGCACAATTCTAATGGGACCACGGTTTGTAATCAAAGGAAAACGGCCTGTGGCATGAAGCCGGTCAGCTGGGATTCGAAATGACATGTACGGTCACGTACGAAGCTGCCCTTAAGGCTCCACACGATGGATGTTTACTATACAGGCTTCTTCACAACATCTGCTGCTTAACCCATCCTCGTCTTCTCCCATCCGTGCAAGAGCGGCCGGCGTTTCTCACTCTCTTACGTAAATCCTTGTGCACACCACATCATCTGCAGCAAAAGTCTGGAGAGAAGCAGGAAAAGGGACAAAACGCACAGCAGAAAAAAAGTAATGCAAGGTTCTTCATACTTCACGTAGCCAATGTTGGTCATGCATTTTGTCCCCTTTGGGGGCAAAATGCCAATTTCTTTAAAAGGGAGCTGCTTTTACAGCCACCATCATCACTTGGGAACGTAAGCACACTCGCCTCCTCTTTTAACTCATTTTACTTTCCCAAATCGGTTCTTTTTGACTTTTGCTCTCAAACCAAACTGGGAGGCTGAGTGCCAGGATCTTGCCCAACCAACACTTTTCCTCCTTACTTTTAAAGGGCAATTAAAGAAGCCATTCTGGGTGGGATTTATCCCTCTCCTACAAAGAGTTCAGTGGGTTAGGTCTTTGGCTTCGAAGCCATAGTTTGGGAGTTCGATTCCCCCACTGTGCCAGTTTTAAGATTACGGTGATTATTACAAATCTCTGTTGTGTGTAAAAGACCATGGAGGAAGGCAAGATGCGGTACTCCCAACTTACAATTTTAACACTGACATGGAACGACAACACAATACTTTCTCAACAAGTGTGAGAGTGACATGCTTTTTTAAAAAAACTTCCCAAACTTCTGCATCCATTTACTCAGCCAGTGAGAAATAAGGATACCCCACCCCATTCTCAGCTGGCTTCCTTCCCGACTTCTTCTTCCATATGAACAACTCCATCAGGATTTTGATCAGGTGTGGAAGCTTAACTCTGAGGCCCTGTTATGCTCACGCCACGACGATTGTCTTAATTTTTTTTTTGCACACTTCTGACCATCCTCAGTGAGAGCCAGATTCTCATACGGCTTTGCCCAAACTTTCTGGAAGTCTTGTGCCCAGGATTAACCACATCCTGCTGAGCCTCGTTATCACACAAGCTTAACTGGCACGCCTGATATGTTCCCTTTTCATACCAAAAACATCACTCCTCCGTCTTGACTTTGAGCTTTCTGCCACATTGCCCTTGATCTCCAAATGATCTTTTTTCCTTGTGGAAATTTTTCTTAAGTCTCCTTTGGGCCTTTTCTACAGCAGTGACCTATTTCTCACCCATTGCTACAACCTTCCTGCTTTTAAGATGTTGAGGAGTATTAGCAGATTTCTGCAGGAAATTCTTTCCCCCTTTCCTCTCCATGATTCTTGGTCTTCTCCAGTGTGTTCTAGACCCTTCTAGATCCTGTATTTCTTATGGCAAGCTCCCCACCCCAGATGGCATGTCCTCTTTCTCTCTGGCTCTAGAACCCTTCCACCACCCTTTCCTATGACTTGTCCAAAACAAATCAAAACTAACACAGGAGGCCTTCAAGAGAGAAGTGGGCAACCCTCTTCAGATCTGCTTTGATTTGGCCGTACTGAGGCAGCCGATGAAATGGCCTGCCGACCCTGAAAGCTTATGCCAGAGAAGACCGGTTAGCCTTTGAGGTGCTTCGCCGAAGACCCAGAAGGATGTTCTATTTAAGCCGAGTGAAGGAAGCAGAGGGGAGCGTTG